GATCCCCATTCTCGCTCTACTCAGAGGCAGTGTGTACGATGGTTTGTGGCAGGCGGTTACTGCCAACGTCACCGGTGGAAAGGGTGCGAAAGGGCTCATGGCCACAAACCGTTCAACCCCTCCTCCAGACGTTGCCAGCAACCGCCCGCCCATTGCCAATGTGCCCGCAGCTTTTGAGTCGCAGGTAAACCAGTAACCAAGATGTTTCGTGCCAAAATTCCAGAGCCCGCCTCAGTCGGAAGGTATGGTACACTACTATAGAGAACCTGGTAGAAAAAATGGCCATGTTGTAAGCGTAGAATAAGCTGTCGTAGAACAGTGGTATGAAATCTCTGCGAACGGGAAACGAACGAACGGAAAAGGAAAGAAATGCTGAGACTGTTTTACCTGCCACAGTCCTGTGAGGTTACCGGCTCCCATTTGAAGTCGAACACAGTCGAGTCTTGGTAAGGACCGTTTGGATTTCTGAAACCCTTTTTCCTTTTAGTTTGTCAGTACTGATAAATGTGGAGCGTTTGAAATTTTTGACGGTCCATTCCGTAGGCTCAGCTCATGATATATAGTCACAGAGCATTTTATGCGTCTAACCTTTCTTAGAAACAAACTGTACACTCACTTCCGAGGACAGTCCTTGCTATTTTGCCCAAGAGTAGCACGCTACTACAGCTGCGGACCCTTTCTCTCCACATATGGTAAGGAGCAGGATTAGGACATGAGTGTACAGCTTGTTTTTAGGATATGGAGAGCCCATGCTCAGATTTGAAGACATTCAGAAAACCGAAACATTTGTCCACTGTCCGTTACCAGTTACCGTAAATGGAACCAACGAAATATTCATCCTACCCGTATTTAGCGAAGTTCGTCCACATTCGCGTCATAAGGTCAATCATTTGTTTGTCAGCATCGGTAAATTGAAATCCAAACAGAAGAGACACACCAAACAAGTACGTCAGTTCCGTGCAATGGGTTGCACCTGAGATCAGAAGATCAGAAAAACAAAAAAAAAATTAACTTAATCAAGTCCTTGTTGTACATTTCCGAACCTCTGAACGGCATCCGAAGGGACAGTATGCCAAAGCTACGTGGATTAAAGAACTCAAACGAGTACAGATAGATGCGATTGGACTGCGTAGCCATCTTCGTCACGTAGCTGTACGTGCCATTGTTCACGAAAATGTCGCTGTACAACTGAAACTCTTGTTGTCAGGTATGAGCACTCAAGGACTATAATCACTTCTATCAGCTAATTAATTGGTTCAATTAAAAGTGCCAAGGCTTGCTATTATTAGTGGGGGTCATCCCTATCTTGGGGTCAAGCAATGCCCATCGCTTCCCCAACTTCTCCAACAGCAGAAAATCTCATCGAGCGTCAGTCTCTAGACCCCGACAGTTGCCAGCGTGTGCTGGGTTACCCCAGTGGTTAAGGTTATCGTTCCACTGTGGTGCAGGACTAGCGCATTAAAGGGTTGCAAAGTGAGCAGTGGGCCGTAGTTAGCTACAGACCATATTTCCTGCCTGATAATGAGCAGCTCTAGGCGATTTACTAGTCATCCACCCGCAGTTTAGTGGCAAAGCAAAGTTACAACAGCGCAGTGCCATAGAAAGCCTTTCAAAGGGGAAAAATTTAGGTCCTTGGCGACCAATGTTGCCGCAACTGATGTATTCCAAGACACGAAATCGTAAGCGTCCAGCAAATTGCATAACACCTTCGAATGCGCTAAACCTATAGAGTTTGGCTTACATGACCACAACTAAAAACCGACTGCAACGTTGGTCTTCAGTGCCCATGTATCCCAGACTGATCATCTGCACTGATCAGTTATGCACTTATTTGAAGTACCAGATAAGTTGTACTGCCTAGAAGACGGTTCATGTCTGACATGTTTTGACGTCCTGGCCACACCCACCACACCGCATAAAATGACACAAACCCCTGAGGTGTGGAGAGTGCGCCGAAAGAAGCGTTGCGAATGGTGCCACGTGCGCGGCATTCGCACCAAGACCTACTTGCCACGACTGGGAGCTAACATACATTAACAGAACAAAACAACCATCACGGAGCCTTCCAGCATAAGCTCTGTCGCACTTCTTCTTTACTCTCTATGTTTATATTGCACAAATACAAGTCACGTGCTTGCCGCCGCAATTCCTCAAAGTTTGAATGATTTTCCGGTGTAATCACAACGGACAGCAGTTTTTCGATGCCTTTCAGGTGAAATGATTAGGCGAGAGAGAGGCTGAAAAGGAAAAGAATCTCGCTAACTACACGAGTGCTCTACACGGCTCCTGAAGATGTCACATCGAGGGTAGAACACGCAAATGTACCAACACCTATATGAATACTAGTTCTGAGCAAAATCGGAATGCAAAAAACTAAAAGCTTACCAAAGAGCAACCCTTCGTGTTGACAAGTTCCTATGAGAGCATTTTTCTTTGGTGCTTCCTTCCGTAATTCGTCAATACTTTTTGGTAGGAAATCATCAGGAGTAGAGCCAATCACGGGCGCTAAGTCGAGACCAATTTTTGACACATCCACGCCCTATAAAACGATAGTCTTACATTAATATTCAATTAGATTATCGATCCAGGCACCTCAAGTACGAGAGTTTCGCACAAGGGGCTAGCGTAACCTGAGGCATCCAAGTTCGAAAAGCTTTACTCATACTGCCCTAAGCAATACGTCGCTGCTACTAAAAATTGAGTCAGACGGCTGGCGTCAAAACCATTTGCGGGCCGTCTAACGTACGCCCAGCCTACTCATTTCAGTGGTAATAAATGCATACACCCGTGTGCATAATTAGTTCTCCACAAAACATATCGAAAAAGCACAGGGGTCATGGAAAAATGTCTATAAATAGACAAATGACAGCAAAGCACACCTTTGATGTGATGAAACGTTTCTCAACTCTTTCCATCTCCGATGACGAAGAAAATTCACTAAACTTCGGCTTGTTTGCACATCTGAAATCAAATAGACCATAACAGTACTTGTTTCTACTCTAGGCACACTGTTAGCTACTGGGAAGTCACCTTATTGGCATTCTCGCACGCCTGCCCTAGTCGTTTGGCAGCGCCCTCAATTGACCGTTTCCTACCCCACCAGACTATGCCATTCGCCCACAGTGCGCTTTGAAACACTACTTAAAGGCACATTCCGCGAAAAAATAAGGCTATGACCTCTCAAATGTGTCGGACGATCCGGAAGGCGATTTTTGAGGCTGCGCTACTTTCAAAATGTGAAAAACGGCAAGAACTCCGCTAGAAGCTGACTAATTAGGCCCATGGACACCCCTTAGGCCCATGCCGACCCTCACCGGCTGCTAGCTACTAGCTAGTAGCCACTATGTTATCTTTCTCTATAACATTTCGGACTGCTTTTACTGCTGCTTTTCTCCGCTAATCAGATACTTAGCACTTTTTGTGCCTATTTGAGTTCCGTTTCCCGCAATTTGCGGTCGCGAACTGTGCCTTAAATTCTCTTTCTAACTACGCTGAGTTATAGGAAAGTATGGGCAGTACTTGAAACTGCGCGTGTTTCGAGATTGTCAAAAGAGGCACCAAGGGTAGCTGATTCATATATAGATGATTAGTCACCGATCCTATTGCCAGGTTGGAACGCGTGCGGTTGCGAAACGCAACTTACTGCTTTAACTATAAAACTAACCATAACTGAAACCATCCCATCCTCGTCTTCTTGCGAATTCACGACAAGAGTCAACCAGTTGAGATCGAGATACGGTACTCCAAGCACATTCAGCATTTCCAGCCATTGGAATCACTTGATGGAACAAATCTGAAAGTTGCTTACATTACATGACGTAATGTCCAGCTACAACCTGTTACGGAGATCTAGCTTTTGTGAGGATGTACAGGTTAATGCTTTTGCAGACCAGAATCGATTGCAATTTTCACATATTTAGTTAAGGATGCCTATTGCAGGAGGTGGAGCTCATCGCATATCAATGCGAAGATCGAATTGCGATTGCGAACAAGTACGACTTCCTCTGAGAACACGGCTCAACGTCGGAACAGGTGAAATGGCGGTTTCATTATGATCCCCTTTACCGAACTTCCCCTTCCGCCGCTCATTCTTCTCATCCTTCCCATCGTCTTTCCAAATTCTCGAATCCCCTGCAGTTCCCAGCAATTTCCTGTTATTTTAACTGAAATTTTTTGTGATGCAGGGACCTTCAAACCTAATCGGCTTGAATCGCAAATCAAAATTATAAACAACGAGTGTACAGAAGTCCAGCGGCGTCGGATTGTATGTATTATATTTGAAGTACATATTCTATACTGCATTGTTTTGTAAATATTACTGTAGCTACTGCATCATGTTTAAAAATTCCACCCACCTCTGGAATGCGGGCTGAGCGCCAACATGTCCACGCTGGCTCCACCTGCACTCTGGCCGAATACTGTAACTCGCTTAGGGTCTCCACCAAAAGCTTTTATGTTGTCCTAAATAGAGCTTTTACTCTATAAGAAGTACTAGTGAAACTCAAATTCGAAGCAGCACACCTGCACCCATTGTAAAGCCATTGTCATATCCCAAAGGCCAAGATTTCCTGCGCATATTTCGTCACCAGTTGACATAAAGCCTAGCAGAGCAAGGCGATATTGAATGGTGACGACTACTACACCGTGACGACAAAGATATCTGCAACAGTACTGGTCAGATGGGAGGAGCTGAGAGAAATTTGGTGAGCGTGGTAGTCTCTTCGATGCGGATGCTGGGCGTCTCAGGGGACTTGGTCTGACGGGGTGCCGTCCGTCTTTCCAGCAGTGACCGGCTGTCAGCGTTGGTGTAGAACATGCTGGCGGCGCGCCAAATGAGCCTCACTGACACGCCCCATCACCCGCAGCGAACAGGATTTCAACAGAAATTAGCCACAGCATGAACACTGCCAACCAACAATCTTACTTAGCTATGCCTTGATCTCCATATTTGACAGCTGAATCTATCAAATATCCTCCCCCGTGCACATACACCATTACTGCATGCCCAGCCTGCAATTATAATTTTTACAATATTTAGCTGTAGCGTCCTGCCAATGAAGTTCTATTCAAAACGCATTTTTGAAGAAGAGAATTTGGTGAAATAGACGAACCTCTTCGTTTTCGGGCTTCCATACCGGGGTGAATACATTGAGATAGAGACAATCTTCACTCTTTGGTCCAAGGGTTAAACGTTCCCAAAAGAAGTCTGCTTGTGGAGCTCGAGGGCCAAATCGGACGCATTTACGAACACCTTCCCAATTGTCCGGTGCGGTAGGTTTCTGCAGGAATATTTCTGTCTATTTATTCACATAAACACAGCTTATGGTTGTAAAAATAATATAGTAGAAAGAAAAGCAGACAAAATAATCAAAAATATAATGAATACCTGGAAACGCAATTCTCCGATGGGGGGTGCAGCGAAAGGGACTCCGAGAAACAGGTCCACCTCTTTATCGTCATCAATGTTTAGTCGGAAACCCTCAATCAGGCCATTTGCCGTTTGCACCTAGAACACCTTGTCTTGAAGTCATTCCAAGCAGTAATAGACGGAAAAGGAATTCTTCTTTCAATTTTTTAGGAACTAGAAAGCCCCCAAACTGATACACACTGGCCATTACAACTTATTACAGTGATGCCTTTCTATTCAATGGATAAATACAGAGGGGGGGGGGGGCAAAAAAAGACATTTCGACCGAGTCACATATCAGCAAAGTTTTCGCAGCCCAGACAGAGGACGTGGATACGAGTACCAGGGCGGAAGATACCCAAGATGTTCCTCGATAAGCAGGAGCTGGCTCTCGCCCATCACCTTCATGTACACCAAAATATGAAGTCATCTCCAGTCGCAGCCTGACTGGAGAAGACCTTTGGAATTCATGTCACCTCCAAACAGCTGCGAAACTTCTAGTATGGAGTCACCCATGGATAGCTACCTGGAGACCAGTACTCTCGATCTGGAAGACCTCCAACATCGAGCAGCTCCGCTACGGTACAGGACACCATCTTCACCGCAGTCGCCAAGGCGGGGGTCGATGATACTATGGACCGGAGCACCTGGAAAGGGAAGACCGGCACAGGTGAGCGCTGGCGGTTACATCGAGCAACTCGAGAAGAATATCCTCCCCACATGTCGTCGCCCGTACCTTCTTGGAAACTTTGTACTGCTACAGGATTGGGTGACACCACATGGAATCGAAGGGCGTTGGAGAAACTTCGCCCACTTGGAATGGAAGGGCGTGAGTACCTGAAGAAGAGGGGTCTAAGAGGTCACCTGGCTAAACCCCCTCAATTCGGGCGGAGTTCAATAGGGTGGTCTACAGTGGCGGAGAAATCAACGATCTCGCTGAACTCAGGTACCCACTCACGGTCGCGTGGCAGAATCTCTCGATGGCGCTCCTCCAGAAGGCTGTGGCGGAGTATCATGATAGTATTTAATATGCTCTTTAATATGGTGGTAGAAATGTCCGATCAGAATTTATAAAGTGTAACTTATAGCGCCTCGAAAGTCAAGGAAGAAAGTGTTTTTTTTGTGCCCCCCCCCCTCTGTATGACAGGTATGTGAGTTTTCTTTCAGAAAGATGTCAGCGTATCCGGTCAGCAAGTGGAGGGACCGAGCGCTAATTGTTCAGCAAACGGCTAGTAGAAATGAGTAATTGTGCCTGAGGGTGATGCAGGCGGCAGGAGGTGAAGATGGCTTATTCAGTTTCAGTCTCCCAGAGGGTCTTAGTTCGGTAGTACATCCGCGGGTATGCCAACACAGTAAAAGTACGAAACAAACCATATCCCGGGAATGTGACTGCCGTGGCTGCGCACCTCATTCAAAACTAGGGGCGTTATTCGTGGGATGTTGCCGCTAGGAACAACCACGACCGCGTGTGCGGCAAAGACATGGCAACGTTTTTTCCTCAAACAGTTCAAAAGGAACGGTCCCGCGATGACCTATGAAAATGCAGGAAGTTATGTGGGGAGGTACCGCACTCCGTAGTGGACAACCCTGTGTCAGTTTTGCGGCAGAAAGTTGTACGGCAGAGGTTTTCCAGTGCCTCCGCCTCCAAATTCGGCCTCCCAACCAAAAGTAATGCTCTCGGGCAAGCCTCATGGAGTGGATTCTCTGTCCATTGTAGAATCATAGGGTTCATCACGGGGAATCAGCTGACGGGAATCGTCGCAGCGCGCAGTCTCGAACCTACACCTCTACAGTTGTTTGAGGCTAGAGGAGGCCCGATGAGTGCGTCCCAACGTTCCCTTTGTCATTTTCTCCTCATAGACGGTTCACTTGGCGAAGTTTCTTCCACATTTCTGCTAAATCACCTAGGTTTTTCAAACGCGGACTATGCCTTTTGAGGTACTGTCCGCAGCCAGACACAGGAGCTGAAATTATGGCATCGGGTGGGTAGTGTGGTAAGCGGCGAACAACCTTGTACCGGATTCGCGGCAAAAAAATTGTATGGGAGATTCGCCATAGCGCAATATAGGTCCACTGACGCCCCATTTTCTCCAGTGATTCCGCCTCCAGACTCCGCGCCGCCTTTCAATGTAAAACACTCTTCCTCTTCGCGTTAGTCCCGCGCCATCGTAGGCGATTTCAATGTAAAACGAAACTGCAGAACGAAAAAGCATGACATTCGTCGCTTGTACGGTCGTAGAACTCTTACCGAGGAAAATGTCCAGTATTAGGAATAGTACTTTTCCACGGAACGTACATCCTGATAGAATTTCGCGGTGCATGAAGAGGCTCTATTCAGTGAGATCGTCTACCAGTTTTTTGGATAGACGTCCCAATGATGCGTACGTTTTGTACTCTCATGTGATTGCACTAGAGTCAACGAAGGACTAAAGTGCACGAACAACTCAGCTTCCCACAGAGTTGCGCGCCGTACATTCACAAGTTTAAGCTCACTCACTACACAGCTAAAATGTGCGCACATGCGTGCGTGTGCGCGCTCTGTGTGCCTGCCTGCACTGTTCAAGAGGACATTATCAGAGCAGTGATCAATAGTTCCCAGCAAATATGAGAGGACCGAGGTGGTCCACTTCGAGATTTTAATTTTTTCCTGATTGATAGACAGTTCAAAATGCCTGAGCTCCTTCTTCCTTTGGATCTTGCAGTTTGCTATTGCAGGGCTGCAAAACTGTCTATTAGGAAATTTAGGTCCATTCTTCTTATCAGTTTTTTCACCCATCTCAAAGTTGTTTCTGAAACTGTTGATTTTTGGCTTTGAGTAGCGCTCATCAGTAGGCGCCCCATTCATGAAGAGTTGATTAGGGCTCACGGTTAGCGCCGCTTTTCGTTCCGCACCCGATTTCAATGATCATTGCAAACTCACTGGCAACTCGCTTGAGTAAAGGGTACTGTGAAAAGAGGCCCTCCGAATATAGGCACCTCGAGCGGACGGCAAAGCACGCCGGAGGTAATTCCCCGCAAGCAACTGACCTCCTCCCCTCCACACCTCACATTCCGTTACCAGCCCCATTGCCTGGAAAGGGACCCTCATTGGAATGGTACTTTCTGCAACCCGAACACAGGATTTTACGCTGCAATCATCATGTACAAGGGCTACAGGTCACCTCTCCTCAACTCAGCGCAATTCATAAGCAACCGAGTCATTGTTACGTCGTCTGCCGGACACTGAGTTATGACTGCCAATAAAGTAGTCAATTGCGTTTGCAGCAAGTAAGTAGTAAATCGTCCGAGGCATTACCAGGCATTTCTCGAGAAAAACCAGAGCTTGTCTAGGTTGCGCGCGATAGAGAGCAGTAGCTTACTGCTCTCTATTGCGCAAAAGATATTTGCATAACAGGTTAGACGGGTCGGAAAGGTCTTCTGCCATACAGGGATGAACTGAAAATGATAACTGTCGCTGAAATGGAGGTCATCATTTATAATGCGAGTAGGACTTTCAACCCGAGATTTGATATGGAGGGTGGGCGCGGCCCTAATTAACCGTGGATGATAGTATGTGATGGCAGCGGATAAAAGCTGATAACTGGCACCAAAGTGCATTCCAAAGTAAATTGAAAAATAATGCCGGGTAGGCTCAGGTTTAGCATGGAGAAGGGTGAACAATCGTAGTAGTATCCGCCCCACCACCCCCCTCACCGGCCTTTTCTCAGTACAGCTCCCAAACCTGGTGCGACTATCTACCATCCTGGCAATCGCCCCGATCCTCCACCGACCCTTTGGAAAATTTCCAGTTTCCGAGAAAAAAAAAATGGCGACAAACAATGTCGTCTCCAATCAAGTACATATCAGAATTTATAGTATAGTCGCCACCAACCAGGAGGTGTATAGCAACCGCCAATAACGGGACAAATCAAGAATTAAAGCCAGGAAGTGCAGAAATTTCCCTCGAAAAAGCTCTAGCGAAGGGAAGCCGTTCGAGCTTGGAGAAATCCTCTCGAGCATAGTAGCGACGCCCCCCACGCCCTTCCGCACTGAATGAGTACGTCTCCTAACATGCTGTACTCTGGGGTAGCTAAAGCCACGCATCTTAACGTTCCAGTTCCTTCACAGGACAGTCTCATAGGAGAAACAAGCGCGAGTTTCATCACACAGACTTAGGCAAGGATGAAAGCTCTATTGAAGAATTCATAGGGGTAATAATGATGGATAGGATTTCACTATGTTATCTGGGAAGTTCTTGTTCCAAAAGCATTTTCAACATGGCACAAGTGCTTTGAGTAAAGAATAAGAGGAGGAGAACGTACTAAAATTGCCAAAAAAATTGCTGGAATAACCAAAACACCTAAAATAAGGATTACCAAAAAAGGATCAATAAATGGTATGGAAAAAAGTAAGCCGGACATGTGACGTACCTGCCTACTTGGCCGGGTCGTATCCGTCTTCCGTATAGCTAACAACGAGAAAACGCTTCCCATCCGAATGAATTACTAATATCTGTAAAGTACTAGTCAGATTAACTGCTTGCAAAATGACTATTGACACAGATCGAGATATCTTGCGCTGAGGCAAGCTAACGGTCAACACGATTCATTGCCATTGTAGCATCACAATTTCTGGTAAGAGTTAGCACATTTACAATGAATAATCTTCACTTCATATTGCTCCGTTGCTATAGGAGTGTTAGAAATAGCAGTCGAGGAGAGCTTTCGGTATCAGCTCTGGCCGACGCTAGCACACAAGCGAGGACACAAAGAAAATCAACACTTCGGTCGCAAAAAAGGTTTCCTTCTATCCTTTAAGGCATTTGTGGTAATCAAGGCTAACAGGAAAAGCAAACAACAACAAAAAAGTAAACACTGCAGTGCATGCCAAATCTGGACTGATGGTAAGGTGTACTCTACGGCCCTCTCTTCTACTCACCCTTGAAAGCACGGTCCGCGAGATATCAGTTAAAGGTGTCGATAAATGGAGGAGAAGTTGCCAAGTCACCTGTCTGTGAGGACAAAATGCCAAAGAGAACGTGGGAGATGCCTTTGATAGGACCCCTCGGGCTTCTGTACAAGTAAAAATCCAAAAGTTGTGGAACGATTCCCGTAAGCTGATTCCTGATCCATTTGATGAGCATCCATTTCATGCTACTTGGCCTTTAGTACCGCTTGTGGCTAGAATGAAGAGTTAGGCTTGAGGGCTGGGTCTGCAGGTGGAGTCACTGGAAAAGGGGAGGTGTCTCTAAAGCAAATTGTGTTTTAATTATTTCCACCTTACAACTTCCACCCACGAAACTGTCCATCGTCTACACTACCCTTCCCACATAATCTTTTGAATTTTCCTAGGTCATCGCTCCTGTAGGCGAGTTTTCCAAATCCCGACCTAACACCTCATTTATCTGTACCTCGCAGTATATAATTGAAAGTTAGATCCTTATGAAGTTTTACCTGCCCGGCCTCCTTTATCAGGTCCATAATCCTTCACGCCCGGCTACCTTCAGAGGCAACCGTAAGAGCTGAAAGTTCATCAAGGACTTCGTAGCAAAGTCTTGAAATAGTACTGCAATGTAAACATTGTTGCACGGCAAGCGTCGAATAGTTAAATTCAGGAATTACTTGAAAAATATTTAACATTTTAGGTCAGGAGATCCAGCCGCAGCCACACAGCAAAGGTGGTGCCAAGTGCGCTGCATCCGAATAATGACCTAATTGGTTCATCTACAGTAGCGATAATGAATTACGAACTGTTACCGCAACATGGACCCCTCTCCCTTCATCCGGATTCTTCTAGTCGAATACGCCAAACTGAAGCGAAAGTAAAAAGATAGAGGAAAAAAAAGAAGAAAGTGAATGAGACACATGACAATAGGGCAGTGACGAAGGATTTAACTGGAAAGTTATAATGTGCGGAAAAACGAAAAACGAATTTCGAAATCGGCAGCTTTTCGGGAGTAAGGGAAAGTTGTAAACAAACGAGTAACTATGCATGTTTTTCAGGCCTTCAGACGACCTTTTGTGATGAAGCAAGCTCTAACATTCTCACTAAGACGGGCATGCAGCTGGGGGCCGACAAAGGCATTTCGAAGAAAGGCGCGCACCGAATTCCAATGATTAGGCAGCTAGCGTAATGGCACCAAAATTCACAGCACGCGGCAATTCACACCCAGCCACAGGCTAAATTCTATTCGTTTAAATAAACGTGACCATTCGAATGTTTCGTGTGAAATTCGATGTGAAATTTTCATAGATACAACAAAGTCAGCAGTGAAACCAATTTTATGGGATGTGTGAGGAAAGGGAATCGTTGAGAAAGAGGGATTTTTTGAAAGAATGCTGATGGATGAAGAGGTTGAGGAACAAAGTGTTACCATTTGCTACATCTGTAGAGGATGAAGCACGATATATTTATTGATCTTTCAGCGTTAACCGATTTTCGGGCACTTCGCAGCGTGGGGTTCCCAAAATATGGGCTTTTTAAGAGAAAGGACAGAGTAGGTTAGCACTTTGCTCGAAATTTGCTCAAGAAAAAAACCATTGCATGTTTTCAAATAGGGGCCGTTTCCAAGAACACTAAAAAGTTTTGAGGTACGCAAAAAATGATATGGTAGGCCTCCTTATCCCAAAAAATGGGGAAAGGAAGAGTGCCTTTTGCTAGCGGAACTCATTTTCATGTTATTGGAACTCAAGTGGACAAATTCCCTGGAGCTTGCCCTTTTCTTAGAGCTATCAGCTCAATATACGGGGTTAAGATTTGTGGCCGCTATTCAACTTTCAGCATTGAAAGTGGGACAAGTTGGCTTTTGGGTCCAAGTGGCTCACAAAAGGAAACAATGGCGAACAATTCTCTCAACTGGGAGGTTGCCTTTTAATGAATGAGTCAGCTGCCTTGAAATAATAACCTGCATGGAATTTGAATTTGAATGAAAACTTTAAACCGGCCTTTTGGCGACAACTGGGACTCGAAGGCATGGAGGGTAGATGAAAACAATCAAAATAGTACTCTGACTACAAAATAATATCACTTCAGTATATGACTTCATTTTCCGCGATTATGAGCCCTCTTACGAAAACCAAGGTGAATTAAAGGCTAAATTAGTTAATTAATTGATTAGTTATTATATTATTTAGTTAGAGGCTAAATTTTGAGCAGAAAAAAGTTAATATATTACTGAACCGCTGGTAAGAAGGACTCCAGCAGTAGAACTGAAACGTTTAATACACGAAGGAGAAAGCTCATTACTGGCAGTATGTCTCTTTTTGACGTGCAGGATTATTGATCAGTTAGCACGCTTTCACTCCACTTCTCTGCATCGTGCAGTGCGGAAAAACGTTGAGAATGACTAGTTTTCCGTACCAACAGCTACTTTATCAAATATTCAGCTATCACAAGTAACTCCACTTTTACAGCCAAGCATTTTGCAGTGATCCGTTTGGTCTCTACGAATGACGCCAGATGCTCCCTTCGAGAAAGTTGAAGCGTCTGAACTGTCGGCAGCAAAATGTGTGGCAATATAATCAATAGTAATGTTAGTGGAATTGGCCAGCTTCGCCCTTTTCGAAAAATGAAAATTTCGTGAAAACGATTTAAAACACCGATACCGAAAAACTCATTTATGTGGTCCCGGAAGTAAGGAACGTGACAATTCGGAAATCCTATTGATCGTTTTGGCATTTCCTTCTAAGCCGCTTCTGACGGCATTTCATTATTGTTCCACTGGAAACAAGAATCGATTCACAATAACTAAATCACGACCAACTTCTAGCGTCTTCATTGTAACCTTAGACAAAAACAGGTGGGAAAGTGTCCCAAGAAAGATACGAGCAGCAAACAGTTTCACGGCGTACAAGGAAAAACGGTCGAATATAGCAAAAGGCCTCGGGAAAAGAATGTGAAAAATTAGCATAGGTTAGACCTCTTCTCGCTCAACTTAAACTCGTTAACGAGCAAATGAGCGATAGAAAAAAAGGAGGGAGGGAGTAAAGGTCACATACTACTTGAAGAGTGAGACGTGCAGTTACTAAACATACGTGCTAAGCAGGACAACACATTATGTCTTACTTACTAATATTTAGATGTGAAAAAGGTGCAGTTCGCCCATACAATGCTGGCTGGACCTGTTCTATGGTCCCAGTCAGCGTTCTCAATTGTTCTATAGGTGTTTCATCAGAAACACTAGGTAGTCGAGGCGTTCGAGCCGTAAAGAAGCAACTTCCAAACTGGAGCCAGACCTAGAACTTTGAGACAGAGTAATTAGAAGCGCATATGAAAGCCTATTCGTCTACAACTCCCGACAGTTTCATTTTTTTGATCGGAACTCGGCATAGTGATAGTAGGTACACACGCCATAAGTATCTCGAGCTTTGAGAAACATTTAGGCTTTGAAAGCTCCCTTAAAGTTATGATGTACAGGTCTGCAAAACCTCAGAGGACCTCTCCACTAATCAGGAGTGAAAACATTCAAAATGTCTTATAAGTTTTTTTTTCTAGAACAATTTGATCAAGCTGTCGCAGGACTTTCAACCTAATAGCAAATTCTTGTCAACTAGCGTGCACTTTTGGCGCCCGCGCTAACGTACAGCGCCCACATTCTGTCTTTTGTAATGCCTTTAGTCTTGTAGTGAGTGATCGGATCGCTGCGCCAGATGGCGCATGCGCCCCAAAAAGAGTGTCATCTTCGTAATCAAGATACTGAAGAGCCTTTTGCCTTTTCCTCCGAAGTTCGGGCAGAAGAATCGAGACTTCGATGTGGTAGTAGAGCTCAGTATACTTAGAGTTCTACCTAACAGCCTCGTTGGTAAACCAAAAAACACAAAACTGTCAAAGATTAGAAAAATTAAACATGATAGGAACAGATTTATCAACGAATAAGAAAGGGTGAATGTTATTAGCGTGGCTAGGCCGTGCTCAAACAAGTATTGAGTCAAATAAGAGTCATTAAAATCCTGGACAAATAAAGGGGTTGTCCCAAAGAAACTCGGAGCAATGACGTCATCTCGCTCCTGGGGGCATTTTCATAACAAAACGATTTTTTTCTTGACATATTGATTCTAACAATACAAAAAGCCATAGACATTCGGGGCATTCAAGATAAGCAGAGTTACAGGGAAAAGGATTAGGGTTGTAGGGAAAGTTACTACATAGTTTGTTGCTGCAGTTTATTGCTGTCTGAGTGAAACATCATCTACAAAAAACGTAATATAAGATGAGTAAGAAGGTAAAATAGGATAATAAATTAGAATGGTGAATTGACTTGGAAGGAACGAGCTTGCATAACCAGTAGCGAATCATGGAAAGAAACGAGAAAGCCAATTGTAAACATGATTCATACAGCGGCCATGACTCATTCAACCACACAGCTTCGAACATCTGAGAGGATTAGGCCCCCCTCCCCAAAAGAGGTAAATCGAAAATTTCAAGTATCAAATATCAGCCGGGATCAACTAATTCACATCCAGTTCTGCGAAATTTTTCAGGAACGGATCACTGT